GGGATATTTAAATCCCCCGTGGAATTTGCAATTCCGAAGTATCTCATTAGCATCCCTTTTCCGGAAACGGGTGCCAATGTAGACACAGCCCTGGAGTACCAGCACTTTTTTTTTTTTTAAAAGAGTGAGAGCACAAAAAAACACACACAAAAAAAGCACTGGCCAGACCCAAGTATCAGACCCTCAAAAGAAGGACTTTAAAAGACTGTTTTCATTAGTTTTCTTTTTAACTTATATCTTTATCTTATTGATAAACTAGGCAAATATAACTTAGATAGGGCCACGATAAGGTGGGTGCATAATTGGCTGGATAACCGTAGTCAGAGAGTTGTTGTTAACGGTGCTAAATCCTGCTGGAAAGGGATAACAAGTGGAGTTCCTCAAGGGTCTGTTTTGGGACCCGTACTGTTCAATATCTCCATCAATGATGTAGATATTGGGATAGAGAGTACGCTTATTAAGTTTGCAGATGATACCAAACTGGGTGGGATTGCAACTTCTTTGGAGGATAGGGACATAATTCAAAATGACCTTAGCAAGTTAGAGAAATGGTCAGAGGTAAACAGGATGAAGATTAATAAAGAGAAATACAAAGTGCTCCACTTAGGAAGGACCAATCAGTTCCATACATACAAGATGGGAAGCGACTATCTAAGAAGGAGCATAGCGGAAAGGGATCTAGGGGTCATTGTGGACCACAAGTTGAATATGAGTCAACAGTGTGATACTGTTGCAAAAAAAGCAAATATGATTCTAGGTTGTATCAACAGGTGTGTTGTAAGCAAAACTCGTGAAGTCATTCTGCCGCTCTACTCTGCACTAGTTAGGCCTCAGCTGGAGTACTGTGTCCAGTTCTGGGCGCCACATTTCAAGAAAGATGTGGAGAAATTGGAAAGGGTACAGAGAAGAGCAACAAGAATAATTAAAGGTTTAGAGAACATGACCGATGAAGCCAGGCTTCATGAACTGGGCTTGTTTAGTTTGGAAAAAAGAAGATTAAGGGGGGACATGATAGAGGTTTTCAAATATCTAAAAGGGTGTCACAAGGAGGAAGGAGAAAATTTGTTCCTCTTGGTTACTGAGGACAGGACAAAGAGTAATGGGCTTAAAGTGCAGCAAGGGAGGTTTAGATTGGACATTAGGAAAAAATTCCTAACTGTCAGGGTGGTCAAATATTGGAATAAATTGCCAAGGGAGGTGGTGGAATCTCCCTCTCTGGAGATATTTAAGAACAGGTTAGATAGACATCTGTCAGGGATGGTGTAGACAGAGCTTGATCCTGCCTTGAGGGCGGGGGGCTGGACTCGATGACCTCTCGAGGTCCCTTCCAGTCCTATTATTCTTTATCAGACTCATCCTCCCTTTAACTGGATTATGGAGCATATTCTCAAATGTGTGCTACAGTTCATTAATTCTGACCAGAGAACTAGTCCACGTGGAAAAGACTACAAACCTGCCTCAAACTGTTTCAATTAATCTTTGACCAAAGTCTTTTGTCCCACAATACCTTCATTTTGCACATTTGTAACGTCATAGAATGAACATAATTGAGAAGCCATATAATCTCAGGAATTGGGATGCCAAAATCTTTGGTCACTTGAAGTAACACTTAAACCTGTTAGATTTTAGAATGTATTGACAAGTTGCCATGATGTTGCAATATCAATTTATAACCATGAATCCAAGCTCCACAAGACTAGGTTAGATGTTCTTTAGTTCGGAAAGACTAGTTTTTTGTTGTGATAAATTCTTTAAATCTTGCAGGAAGAGAGCCAGACATTAGGAAGGATCACCTTTCTAGGAGTAGATTAAACCTGTTGCAGAGTAACATTTGCAGTGTTCTGAGCTGTCTTCAGCCTTGTTTTTTTGTAATATTACACTTTCCTGTTCTCATTTTTCTCTTTTTTGTATTAAATCTACCCCTTTATTTCTTTGTTCTCAGGATCTGAACAATTTATTTGCTCAGGTGGATCCAATATCAATGCATCCTCCCTGCAAAAATTTCTGGTGTTCTTTCTTGTGTCCCTGACATACTGGTAGGTTAATAGATCCATGGTCCAAAGCATTCAGTTATTTTGGATATTATCAAATGCAAATGTTTTTGAATGGCTCTGAATTTTTCATAATACATCTTTCTATTTTCTTAATGGGGAGGGAGAGGGAAGCAAAACACAATGAAGGTCAGTTTCATTCTTTGTGCAAGTCCATTGGCAGGAATGTGTGTAATATGAGGGATACCTTGTGTTGCAGCAGGAAAAAAGCAATGGAAAATTGTATATTATATAAATATCATGCAAGTATGCTGGAGTACACACTTGTATGACAAGTGTAAAGGAGCACACAAAGTGAAAGGCCATAAGAACAATCAGGCGTTTAGTACTGTACAGTACTTGTTGCAATTTAAAGTACATCTGAGTTCTGGCACTGTATATATTCAGAATAGTATCAGTAGCATTTCAGTCGATATTAGCAACATAAAGAATTATTTCATCATTATAAATAGCATCATGCCTTTATATACTATGTGGCAATGTCCTTGTGTTGTTTGATAGAATTTGGTTGTTTCATAAGAATGCATATGTCTTTACTCTGAGCCAGCAGTTCTCAAACCAGGGGTCAGGCCAGGTACGGCCCCTAATGTGGTTTGTGACATGGTTTTAATGCAGCTGGTACTGGAACCCACAAGGGGAGTGGCAATTCTTGATTTAGTCCTGAGTGGAGCGCAGGATCAGGTCCAGGAGATAACCATTACAGGACCGCTTGGGAATAGTGACCATAATATAATAACATTTAACATTCTTGTGGTGGGAAGAACACCTCAGCAGTCCAGAACTCTGGCATTTAATTTCAAAAAGGGGGATTACACAAAAATGAGGAGGTTAGTTAAACAGAAATTAAAAGGCACAGTGACTAGAGCCAAACCCCTGCAAGCTGCATGGAAACTTTTTAAAGACACCATAATAGAGGCCCAACTTAAATGTATACCCTAAATTAAAAAGCATAGCAAGAGACCTAAAAAAGAGTCACCATGGCTTAACCACCATGTAAAAGAAGCAGTGAGGGTATGTCTACACTGCCACCCTAGTTCGAAGTAGGGTGGCTAATGTAGGCAATCGAAGTTGCAAATGAAGCCCGGGATTTAAATATCCCGGGCTTCATTTGCATCTTGCCGGGCGCCGCCATTTTTAAATACCCGTTAGTGCAGACTCCGTGCCCGTGGCTACACGCGGCACGGAGTAGGTAGTTCGAATTAGGCTCTCTAATTCGAACTACTGTTACTCCTCGAGGTGTAATGAGGTGGAGCAAAGTGTAATGGTAGTTCGAATTAGAAACCTAATTCGAACTACCTACTCCGTGCCGCGTGTAGCCACGGGCACGGAGTCTGCACTAACGGGTATTTAAAAATGGCGGGGGCCGGCAAGATGCAAATGAAGCCCGGGATATTTAAATCCCGGGCTTCATTTGCAACTTCGATTGCCTACATTAGCCACCCTAGTTCGAAGTAGGGTGGTAGTGTAGACATACCCTCACTGCTTCTTTTACATGGTGGTTAAGCCACAGTGACTCTTTTTTAGGTCTCTTAGTATGTTTTTTAATTTGGGGTATACATTTTAGGGTGGCAGTGTAGACATACCCTGAGAGACAAAAAAGCATCTTTTAAGAAGTGGAAGTCCAATCCTAGTGTGATAAATAGAAAGGAACATAAACACTGTCAAATCAAGTGTAAAAATGTAATAAGAAAAGCAAAAAAAGATTTTGAGTAACAGCTAGCCAAAAACTCAAAAAGAAATAGCAAAATGTTTTTTAGACGTTAGGGAGATTCCCAAATCTGCACCATCCTTTGTGGGTGATGAATCTGAGGAACTGTCCTGGACTGAAGTGTCATTAGAGGAGGTTTTGGAACAAATAGAAAAACTTAATGTCAGCAAATCTCCAGGACCGGATGGCATTCATCCAAAGGCTCTAAAAGAACTCAGATGGGAAATTGCTGAACTATTATCTGTGGTTTGTAACCTATCCTTTAAATCGGCTT